TCTCTTTCCACAGATGTAGTCAATCCAATTCCTATGTACTCTATCTGGTGAACTCCACATATATAGCTGCCATTTATGTTGTTGAAAAAAGGTATTGAAATGAATAAGTTGTTGGTCTTGCAAAATTCTGTCATGTGATCTGCAGTGTTATTTGTACCACCAAGGCCATATTTTCAAACTACTGTGATTCTTCTTTGTTTCCAGTTTTTTCATTCCAATCACCAGTGATAATCAACACATCTACATTGCATGTTAGGTCAATTTCAGACTGCAGAAGTTGATAAAAATCTTCAATTTCCTGATCATTGTCTTTGGTGATTGGTATGTAAATTTTAATAATAGTAGTATTAACTGGTATTCCTTGTAGGCATATGGCTATTTTTCTGGTTACCTGGTGCCACTCTGACAAGAATACCACAAATGGGATGGCCTTAACAAGCAGGAGTTTATTCTTACAATTTGGAGCCTTTAAGTCCAAGTTCAAAGTGCCAGGCACTAGGGGCTGGGTGAAAGCCCCTCAACCTTGGGGTCCAGCTCTGCTTCCTGCTCCTGGCCCACTGGAGCTAGAGGCATTTCTTCACTCAGACAGCTGCTGGCTGCTGAGGCTGAGAAGCCCCAAGGTTACAAGTAAAAAGGCACAGTCCCGATGTTACCAAACCACATGGCAGGCCATTAACTTAAGTCCATTGTAAGTCCCAAGGTCAGCAGAGCATAGCAGGCTGCTGAGCAATGACGTGGCTACATGCAGGGTCCAAGTGTGCCATAGGCTAGAGACCATTCTCAAAACTTCTCATATACAGGAAGCAGACCACATCCCAAAGGCAGCTACTCAGCTGCTTGTGGTAGATCCCACCATGGAGTTGATTGCCAGTCTCATCATGGGGAATAACCACCACCAGCTTCCCAGCCACTCAGCCACGCCCAGCCAAGTTGACACACAAACATAGCTACCACAGCTATTATCCTATCACTGACAGCATTGTACTTCAGGATAGATCTTTATACATTCTTTGTGATGATGAATGCCATGCCATTCCTCTTCAATTTCTCATTCCTGACATAGTAGATCATAAGATTGTCTGATTCAAAATGGCCAAAACCAGTCCATTTCAGCTCACTAATGCCTAGAATATTGATCTTTATGCGTTCCATTTCATTTTTGACAACTTATAATTTTGCTACATTCATAACTTTGCACATTCCATGTTCTCATTATTAATGGATGTTTGCAGCTCTTTCTTCCAATTTTGAGTCATACCCCATCAGCAAATGGAGGTCCTGAAACCTTTACTCAATCCACATCATTTGAGGTCAGCTCTACTCTGAGGAGGCAGCTCTTCCTCAGTCATATTTTGTGTGCCTTGTGACCTGAGGGGCTTATCTTCTGGCACTATATTGGTCAATGTTTCAGACTATCCATAAAGTTTTCCAGTAATATATCAGACAGTGTTTCATCACTATTCATAAGGTTTTCACTGGCCAATTCTTTGAGAAGTGAGTGGCCTCTTCTTCTGAGTCTTTCTTCATCTGGAAGCTCCTCTGAAACCTGTTCACCATGGGTAATCCTGCTGTCATTTGAAACACTGGTGGCATAGCCTCCAGCCTCACAGCAACATTCAAGCCACCACAGTACAACAAACTGACAGACAAGTTTGTCCCCCTTTGTTGTTCCAAACTGCTCTGCTCATTTCATGGTCTCCTTCAGCTGTTCCAAACCACCTCCCTCCCTTATTCAAGGTAAAAACATTTCTGCAAGAGAATTTCAGACTCCTAAGTTCCTGCCAGTATTGACTACTGCAGTGTTTAAAATTGTATGAGGAATAAGACAGAATTTTGCTAGACCTCTAGTTGTTCTTATGGTTACTTTCATTTTTGCTCACTTGAAGAGTGAAGTTTTTTTATACTTGGAGGCCTTAGGGATGAGGGAAGCACTTCTGGCAGGCTGGAGCAGAGGGCACTCTGAGTAGAGACAGCTACTCCTAATTTAGTTCTTCCTTTTTCCCAGACTTCTGAATGTGAGGATGTTAAGAACTTGTCAGTCTGGTAGAATGCAGGCACCAATGTGAAGCTGTAAAACAAATGACCTAGATATGACTAGAAGTTTATTACAGAATCATACATTTCAAATGAAAACATGAAAGCTTCATTATATTTTATGTAATAAGAAGTGACAAGAGTTTTTGACTCACTCCAAAAAAGCTGAATGGTACCTCAATATTTTCCAGTAATTGGAAGTACTGTTTTAGCAAATTCAGCAGAAATCAGCATTTAGGGAAATGATGGTCACTGAGGTAGCTGCTCCTGGGCTAGATGCTACTTCTTATCCTCAGGACTAGCCCTTGCCCTCAAGGAGCTCAGAGTTACCTACAATCTTGTTAGAGAGTGAGGATTCTCACCAAGATAAGTCATACAACCTCCTGGGCTCAACTTTTGGTCAGCAGAGCCAATATTAGGAGGCAGGAGCCTGCACCTTTGGATAGTGGAGGAGCCAAGGAAGTAAAAGCAGTGCCTTCCTTTGACACCTTCTGTCTGTCCAGTGATCTTACTTTCATAGTCCTGGGGTTCATGTTCCCTTCTTATAGGTGACCAGCCTTTCATGATGAGCCACCATAGTGGAGTGGTTGAAAGTAAGCACAGAAGTTCATGGGCTCAGGCAGCCTGGCTTTACTAATAATTGTGAGACCAAGTCAGCTCACTTTTTCCAGTCTTAGTTTCTTCATCTGTAAACTGGGCATGATAACACTAACTTATATTCCACAGGATTGTTGTGAGTATTGAATAAAATAATTTATGTTAGCACATCATCCCAAATAGCAGTTAGTTGCAAAGCCATTTCTCCTTAGCTGTAAAAGCATATTGCCAGTTTTGAGGGGATAGGGATAGGTATCTTATTTATCTTCCTCTCTGATTTTCTATATGTCCTTAGGTGAGCAGAAAAGAGGGGCAGAAAGGCAATGTGCAGAAAGTGAGAGTGGAATAGGTGGTCCCATGTCCCAGGAAATCTGCATCACAGATAATGGAGAGTGAACTGAAAACATATTTTAAATCCATTCAAGAGGATTTGAAACTGAGTAATGAACTTAATGAATAGTGAATAACCTCATAGCATTAGTAAAGAAAAGGAAATTTTGACTCACTGCTGTGGCAGCAACTTTTAATTTGATGAAATCTCGAGGTAAAAACATTTCTGCAAAAGGATTTCAGACTCTTGAGTTACTGCCAGAGCAAAGAAGCTGAATTTGCATGACGGGCAGCAGAGATGCATGGGATTGGAAGCTGCTGACAGCCCACCTGGCGATATTTATCTTCACCTCTCTATTGATTTCCTATACTCCAGAATATATTCCTTGTGTCTATTCCCTCGTCTCAGACCATGTGTGATTTTAGATCCTTATGAGAGGATGAACCTGTTGTCATAGTGGATTGGGCACTGACACAGCTTGGAAAACTCTAATTAATTAAAGTATATCTAAGTAGGAGCCTATTTAATACATCTTACACAATGTAATGTTGAGCACCAGGAAAAGAATGAAATAGAATGCATTTGCTAGAAGAATAATAAAAAATGCAACTTTCCTATTAACTGCCTAAGAAGTAGTCTGGAGAATATGATCTCTCCATTCAGTATTTTTCTTTTGCCTCTCAGGTGACTGGCTGAAAGCAATTTAAGAAATTTATGACATTCCTCTGTCTTTACCTCTTTATAGGTATTATATACCTATACACGGGGGCTCTGGTAGGTAGTGCCTAAGGCACTGGACTGCTAACCAGAAGGCTGGCCGTTCAAACCCACCAGCCACTCCTCGGAAGGAAGATGGGGCAATCTACTTCCATAGTGATACTGTCTCAGAAACCCAAGGAAGGGTCGCTATGAGTTGGGTCCGACTTGACGGCACATAACAACAACAACATACCTACACACACACAGACACACCATTTGCTCCAAGTTATAGAACTTATTAGTGACAAGAGAGATAAGCACTGTTGTTGTTGTTGTTGTTATGTGCCATCGAGTCAAACCCGACTCATAGCGACCCCTCCTTGGGTTTCCAAGGCAGTATTGCTACGGAAGTAGGATTGCCCAACCTTCCTTCTGAGGAGTGGCTGGTGGGTTTGAACCGCCAGCCGTCTGGTTAGCAGGCAAGTGTCTTAGCCACTATGCTACCAGAGCTCCCTAGAGATAAGCACTATGGAAGGGAAATTCCTGGGAAAGAGCTGTGTAGCTGTGGTTCAGGATGGGACCATTGTTACTGGGGGCCCTCTTGAATGGATTTTACATCTCTCTAAATTAATGAAAGAGCACTTCTTTGGGATTGTCACCTACCTGGGTGAGGTATGCATCTCCCAGAGTGGCTGATTTAAGGGTACAGTTGGGGTTGTGAGGCTCCTGGCACAAGAGTTCATTCTCCCATTTCTCTCATGGTCTGGCACAGGGGTGGATGGGCCTGGCTCCCAACCTGCTGTGTGAAGTCAGCACAGCTCTCACCTCCCCAGACATGTCTTTCCTCACTGGTGAAATGAGAACAGAGAATGAACCAACTGGGACTATGCCCTCCTTCCCACATTCTAGCTCCCTGAGGAGGGATGAGTTTGCAGTGTAGGATTCTGGCACTGCCACAGGAGGTGACTAATAAACTTCCTGTGCACAGTAGCTATGCCAACACTTCCTCAGGTAGTTGACTTGAAAATAGCCACTCCTGACTTGTATAATGTGTTTGTAGGCTCAGGGGAAGCTATTCTCCAAAACTGCCAACCATACTCTTCCCATGCAATACCCGAGACGGTAGCCACTGCCAATAGATCTTGGCACTAGGCCTTGAATATCTCATTTCCTGACTTTGGCTCCCAAATGTCCTCATGAAACACTGAGCAGGCTGCTGTTCTTTGTTTTCGTTCATGAAAGAAAAAGAAAAAGATTTGTAGAAAGTGTATTGTATATGAGTCCACTACCAGGCTAGGGTGTGCCAGGGAGATAAACCATTGGTACCACTGTTTTGCAGATTGAATCCATTTACTACTTTGTGGTGGGGGACATTCCTGAGGAATCCAAGGAGCTACTCCTTCAGAAGGCTTTGGAGATCCCGTATCCAGTCTGCACAGTGTCCTTCAATGCCAGAGGAGAAGGCACTATAGCTTTTTTAAAGGATCTGAGTGCCCAGAGCCACAGCAGGTAGGCAGAAAACGTACTTGTGGTGACGGTGAGTCCCTGCCTCCATGAAAACAGCAGTGAGTGGGCCTTGGATTCTTTATGGTCTTTCTAATCAATGTGTTGCTGTTTTCTTCCCCTTTCCAGTACATTCTTTAGTCTCAATGCACCTCTCCTTTCTTCTCTCTCTGTGTGAGTTTAGGTCCCTTGTAGAAAGAGCCCAGATAGTTATATGAGGAGAATTACCCAGTCCTTTCCTAAGTTAAGGAGCTCTGATGGCGTAGTGCCTAAGGCATTTGACTGCTGACCAGGAGGCTGGTGGTTGAAACCCACCAGCCACTCCTCGGAAGGAAGATTGGACAATCTACTTCTGTAGTGATAACCCTTGGAAACCCAAGGAAGGGTTGCTATGAGTCGGATCCAACTCCATGGCAGTGGGTTTGGGTTTTTGGTTTTCTTATGTTAGGAGCTCTGGTGGTGTAGTGCCTAAGGCATTTGACTGTTAACTAGAGGGCTGGAGGTTCAAACCCACCAGCCACTCCTTGGAAGGAAGATTGAGTAATCTACTTCCATAGTGATACCGTCTCGGAAACCCAAGGAGGGAACACTATGAGTCAGATCCGAGTCAATGGCAGTGAGTTTTGTTTTGTTTTTTTGGTTTCCTAAGTTAGCCTATCTGAAATGGGTACAGTGCTGCCCTTGAACACTTTGTGCTCAAATGTAAGTGTGTATCATAGCAGGGGAGCTTGTCTTAAAGACTGATACCACATATAGAGATGAGGATCAAGAATATGCATTTTAGTTCTTTTATTTATTTATTTATTTTATTTATTGTGATTTGGGTGAAGATTTACAGAACAAATTCACTTTCCATACAGCAGTTCACATATACTTTGTCTCATGTCATTGACCACAGTTTACCACAATGCAACAGCTCCCCTCCCACTTCCTCCCCATAGTTACCACTTCACAGTGTCCATCCCTCCATACTCTCCTGCCCCCTGAGCTGTCTCCCTGTGCATAAGCAGCCCTTCCTTCTCCCATGATTGTTCTTTCCAGGGCGTGTGTCTACTTGAGGTAAATGTTTAACTCACTTTGTTTGGCTGGAAACCACAGGTGTGGGTTCAATTCCAGACCTGAAGGACAGCTAGGGGCCATAGTCTCAGTGGTTCCACCAGGCTCTATTGGACCAGCAAACGTGGTCCCAACCATCTTTTTTTTTTTTTTCCCCTCCAAATGATTTTGAGTTTTGTTCTACATTGTTCTCCCTCTCTATCCAGGATCTCCTACATCCCTTCCAAGTGGATGACAGTGGTAGCCAGGGCATTTTAGTTCTTTAGTCTGCAGAACTGTCTAGGAAGCTTGTATAAAATGCAGATTCCATGGCCACAGCCCCCAAGATTCTGGTTTTCAGGGTCTGAAGAGGGCTCAAGAATCTGTATTTTCAACAGAACCTCTGGTAATTCTGAGGATCTTTGCTCCAGCTGCTTTTAAAGCACTTTGAAATCTTTTAACATCAGGTACATGGCTTCAATTCTGGATTCCCTGAGCACTCCCAAATACACAAAGGGCTCACTTCCCCACCTTTGCTACTGGAGAGAGAAAAAAGTAACTGGCAGAGCCACTTCTCTTCCTTGAACCTTTGCTTAACCTGGGCAGCACTTTGTCTGGGCTGGCTAAATTACCCTGGGAGCAATTTGACACAGGAGAAAGTACAGTTCTGCTGTTGGCTTTAAAGCAGGGCACTGCAGCATGGTGGGGATTTGCAGAGAGGACAAGGTGTACACAGGCACTGAGCTCTGGCAAGCGCGCTGACCCCATGACCATTGTGCTTCTGCCCTGTTCCGCTCGCTGCCAGACCCACAATTTCTCTCAGTGCACTTTCTGCTGTTGAGCTGCAGCTGAAATACAGTTGTTAGTAAACTGTAACACCATGTTCAGAGTCTCAGCTTTCTGCTTCAGCCTAGTGACCCTCCAAGCATACTCTGGCTCACCCTGTGCCCCAGGCTGTGTCTGGGCAGAACCAGCAGACCTCAGGCACTGTGCTGTATTCTGTGGACTCTCCAAAGAGCCTGTCTTAATGTTCATTTACTGTACAAGTGAGGCTCTGTCATCAGCCAGAGTAAATTTCTGTCTTGTTATGTTTTCTAATTTGAGAACAGATCAGAAAGTGGAAAGTTCTGGGTACCACAGTCCTTGGCACTCAAGGTGTGGGACCTGCCAGGACAAAAGTCAACCATCTCCCCTCCTTGCCTTGCAAAGAGGTCACAGGAGAAAGGAAGCTCTGCAGGAGGCAGGCACACATAGCAAGATTAAGAAGCTGTCAGTCTAATGAGAGGTGGTTGGAAAAAGGCTGAGTTGTTCATTGCCATCAAGTCATCATCCTAGTCTTGTCTCAGTCCTTTAGAAATAGATAGGACCGGGGCTTTCCATGGTCCAATCAAGATCCCCTGACCTCTCTCCCCAAGTCTGTCCATCTGCCCTTCCCAGCTTGTGTTTCAGATCTCTTTGTGTTGAATGAATGGCAACAGGCAGATGTGGAACTCTTGGGTGGTTGGAGGAACATTACTCAGAGATGTCACCTGCGAATCTGAAAGAAATCCGCTGCTATTATTGACTTTTTGGATTCCAGATAATTGGCTTTCAGGGTGCACCTGAGCCCATTACCCTATATGTTACACCATCCTTCTCAAGCTTTAAAGTGTACATGGATCTCCTGGGGAGCTTGTTAAAGTGCATCTTCTGATTCAGCAGATCTAGGGTGGGGCCTGAGAATTTGCATTCCTGACCTGCTTCCAGGTGATGCTGCTGCTGCTGCTCCTTGTAACACACTTTGAGTAGTGAGATCCTAACAACTAGCCTACATATGAATTATTTTAATTAATGCTTGAGATTAGATCCTGGTGAAATTTGTGTTTGTTGAATTAAAGTTGACCGAAGCCCTTCAGCAATAGTTAAGTTAGCGAATGGTGCCTGGGCTGCAAATTTTCAATATACTGAACCCACAGAGCAAATGGACTGCTGGGCCCCTTCATTAGACTCTTGGCTTGTCAAAACTATATTAACATGAGGGAACCCTGAGAACAAAAGAATAAATATAAGCACAGTCTATCATTTTTTTCAAGGATCAATAAATACTATTTGAGCTAATTACTCTCTAATGAAGAGCCATCAGTTATAATCCCAAACCACTCACAATTTCCTTGTACTCTCTGTCTCTTGCTCGTGGGAATTGAAGAGGTATAGGGAAAGCAGTGAACATAACACCACAGAAGAACAAACTTAAAATCCTAGGAGAAATAATAGACATGCACAAATATCATTTTAGTAGCCTAATGTTGAAAATGTCTTCATGTTTCAGATTCCATGCATTTGCTGAGAGAACAGAGTGTGTGGAATTTCCTGCATTGACCCTACAGGATGGTAAAAGTGTAATTACTTGGAATTCAAGGAAACTGAAAGGAAAACTCCCTCCAGGTACCTGGATGCTGAGAGAATAGTGCAGTTTATAACCTTAATAACTTAATATGTTCCATGTCCTTAGGAAATACATTAGTAGGTAGGGACTAACTGTGTCATTTGTATTATTTATATAGAATAAAGGAATAGTTAATGGCTGTCAATTAATTGTGAATTTGTCAGCCTAGCAACCAGAGAAGTGGCCTAAGTGCAATGTTATTTGCTAACTTGGGAACTTTCTGGAGACGTGACCCTGGGCATGTCAAGGCATGTCTTTGCAAGAGAGAGCTGTTCTGCTGCATAGGTTGGCTGGAGGACTGCAGTGACGCCTACATTCTAGTGGGGCCTTCTACTGCTCTTCTTCCTCAGAGAAAGCAGTAATTGTGGGATTGGGATGTCCCTTATGAGGGCCAAGGCCACGGAAGAATATTGAGGTTGAGTGAATCTCACCTGTCATCCAAGGAATGTGGTCAGAGTTTAACAGGTACAGAGAATGACATCACAAAAATCAATGAGAAATAGGGTTATGATTTAGATAAACAGTAGTAGAAGGTTATGCAGAACACAAAGTAATCAGTTTCTTTTGGGCTGATGGAATTGCAAAGTGCCAAAGACCCTGAATATATACCACCAGGAAAAGACAAGAAGGAAACCCCTGCTAGATGTTGTGGCACAGTGGACTAGTTGGAAATCTAAGAAAACTCATCCCCACCACCATCCTCCTATTTATTTTAGTTATCAAACAGATTTCTAGCTTCAGTATGAGACAGGAACTGTTAGGGAATAAGGGAGTATACATCTGTTTAAAAGATTCCTCTGTTTACGTAAGTGGTGTAGTAAAGGCTCCCAGGGGAAGGTATGAGCTGGTATGTAGGAGGCAGTTAGGTTACTAGTCTAGGTTGTCAAGTGGAGATAAAGACAGAGGGTAGAGTCAACAAAGCCTATTTGGACATGCTTTGTGGATTCAGATTCTTAATGCCCCAAAGAAGAGGAAGGACACAAGTTCTGGTGGAGCTAACTAGGGACTATTATTGCTTTAGGTAATTAATACCTTTTGAAGTAGACATCAGTAAATTTGAGTAAATGTCAGTTGATAAGCAAGATTGCTAGTAGTCTAAGAAAAGTACTAATTCATTATATATGCCCACTTAAAGTAATCTACAAGGTTAAACTTAGTGGACAATGGTTCAGTTAGGGTAAAGACTGGAATTGTGAGATACCACCCGCTTCCCAAGGTGTACCAATTACTGTAAAATGGGGTTTAATTTTGACCTATGTATCTCTTGGATATAAAGGGAAATATATCCAGCTACATAGGTTTCATTTTTAGCAACTACCATCCTCCTAGCCCTGTGAAGCATACAAATTAAATTACGGATAAAAACATTTTCTTTAAAAATGCTTGGAGCATGGCTTACCATTCTAATGTCATTTCAGTGATCACATCTTCTGCATTTTTGGAGAGAGTCCTGAACTTAAATATGCAATCTTGTCTCTTCTGTCCATCATAATGCCCCAGAAATGCCAACATTTGAAAGCCTACCTCTTCTACTCAAAAACTTCCCAGAAATCCTTGACAACCTATTTTGGTGTGGAAAACTTGTGGTTTCTAACCTCACTGGCCCTCAGAGGTGGTTATTTAAACTTGTTTGTGATCAGTTCCCTCTCGCAATCACTGCATCATCTGTTTCAAGCACTTATCAGTACCATTTTCCTCAGGCCTCCCTTAACTCTCCTTAGGAGATTAGTGTGTGCCTCCTCTTGGAAAATGGAGTATCAGGTAAGTGGTTGGAGGAGCATTGTTCAGCTAACATACCTGACAATCAGGAAGAAATTTCCTGCTGTTACTGTCTTGCAGATTCCAGATAATTGACTATCAGGGTGCTAAATCAAACCAAACCCACTGGCATTGAGTAGATTCCAACTCATAGTGACCTCTACTGGGTTCCTGAGGTGGTAAATCTTTAGGGAAGTGGATTGCCCCATCCTCCTTAGCAGTCCAATGCCTTAGGCAATGCAGTACCAGAGCTCCTATCAGGGTACTACTTAGTCTGTTAACCCATTTTCTACATCAGTGTAAAAAGGGACACTAAAACCTCCGTAGTCAAGATAAGTATTTTAATGCAATCTTTAAAAAATAAAAATTAATGCAAAAAATCCATGATGAACAAAATATTAATGTTTTTTAAAAAAGGTAGGCTGAGGAGCTTTGGTGGCATAGTGCCTAAGGCATTTGACTGCTAACCAGAAGGCTGGCGGTTCAAACCCACCAGCCACTGCCCCTAAGGAAGATTGGGCAATCTACTTCTGTAGTGATGCTGCCTCCAAAACTCAAGGAGGGGTTGCTGTGAGTCAGGTCTGACTTGACAGCAATGAGTTTGGTTTTTCAAAGGCTCCAATAGTGCTATGCCAAGCCATATTGGAGCCTGAGGCAAAAGAAAAGTTTTTTTTGTTTTTTTTTTTCCAGATTGTCAAAATAGTTGAGAATATACTGAAAAATGGAAACCTAGGTGTATTGAAATTCACGATGTTACTTTAAGTTTAAATATTTGGAAAATATATTCAGAGCTCTTGCTAAGGTTTAATGTTTATCAACACTTTCAAAGTTACTTTCATTTATTATAACTTACAGCTCTCAAATGAAAATGAGATAAAACAGAAGTATATTTTCAAAATATTTTTTATTGATGAATTTGGTTTCATTAAAATTGGGTAGTAAAATTATAATAAATTATGTTTTAGTATAAATAAAATAGGAGCTCTGGTAGCATAGGGCCTAAGGCACTTGGCTACTAACCAGAAGGCTGGCCATTCAAATCCACCAGCCACTCCTCGGAAGGAAGGTTGGGCAATCTACTTCTGTAGTGATATCGCCTTGACAACCCAAGGAAGGGTCGCTATGAATCGGGTCCAACTCGATGGCACACAACAACAACATAAATAAATAAAATATTTAATCTTAAAATAATGTAAGTTTTAATTACTTCTCAATATTTTTTTCAGTTAATGTTTTGGATAAAAGTTAAACATTAAAAAAATATAATAAAAATATGTACATAGGTTTGCACATTTTTCCCCCTTTGCCTCAGGCTCTGATACTGCTTTCCATAACACTGGTTACTTGGTTTTCTGCACCTTCTAACATCATCATCCCCATTGCTCTTCCACATGCACCCTATTGTTTGTCGTTGTGGTTATGTGCCATGGAGTCAGACCCGACTCATAATGACCCCTCCTTGGGTTTCTGAGGCAGTATCACTACGGAAGTAGATTGCCCAACCTTCCTTCCGAGGAGTGGCTGGTGTGTTGTTTGCCATTTGCCAGCACTTATCCAGTGCTGCTGTAACAGGAATATCACAAGTGGATGGCTTTAACAAACAAATTTCTTCACTTATGGTTTAGGAGGCTAGTCTGAATTCAGGGCACTTGCAATAAGGGAAGTCTTTCTCCGTCTGTCAGCTCTGGGAGAAGGTCCTTGTCTCCTTTTAGCATCCATGGACCCAGCATTCCTTGGAGATCTTCATGTGTCTTGGGATCAGTCTTTTGCTGGGTTTAGGAGGTTCTTAGTTTACGGACCTGGGTCTAAAGGATGTGCTCTACTTCCAGCTCTTCTTTCTTGGTGGTACTGAGTTTCTCTCTCTCTGCTCACTTCTCTCTGTTCTTTTATCTCTTGTAAGGTAAATGATGATGCAGGCCATGCCACAGGAAACCTCCTCTTTCATTAGATCAGGGCTGTGACCTGAGTAAGGGTGTTGCATGCCACTGTAATCTTCTTACAGCTGATTGGCTGATCATATCATGGAGGGTATCTTAGTTATCTAGTGCTGCTGTAACAAACAAATATATTCCAGCCTCTTTGTTGTTGTTGTTGTTATGTGCCGTCGAGTCGGCCCCGACTCATAGTGACCCCTCCTTGGGTTTCCGAGGCAGT